GCTCCAGCGCCAAGATGGGGAGTGCGGGGAGGCATGGCCGGCCGTCTGGGGCAGCGTGCTGGCCCCACAGGGCCGACTCTCAGCTCCAGGCGCCCCAGGTGTGCGGGCAGGCAGGGCTGGGAGACGGTCAGCACGCCCATGCAACCGTCCCACCAGGCAGGCAGGGCCCGGCCTGGACGGGCTGGTGCTGAGGGGCCCTGTGATTCCAGGACCACCTGGTGTGCTTCCTGCCAGGGACACTGGCCCTCGGCGTCCACCACGGCCTGCCTGCCGAGCACCTGGAGCTGGCCCGGGCGCTCATGGAGACCTGCTACCAGATGAACCGGCAGATGGAGACGGGGCTGAGCCCCGAAATCGCTCACTTCAACCTGTACCCCCAGCCGGGCCGTCAGGACGTGGAAGTCAAGGTGAGGCACAGGCCGGCCGTGGGCGGGCGTGGGGTGGGCCGACTCTGAGCCCTATTCCCTGCAGCCGGGGGACAAGCACAACCTGCTGCGGCCCGAGACTGTGGAGAGCCTCTTCTACCTGCACCGCTGCACGGGTGACCCCAAGTACCAGGACTGGGGCTGGGAGCTCCTGCAGAGCTTCGACGCCTACACGCGGGTGAGCCGCTACCGTGCCACCTTTGGCCTGGGGCCCTGTTTCAGGGAAGGGAGGGTCACGTCCACCCGGGCCCCTGTGTGTCTCGTTGGAATCCGTGTGACCTCCAGCCAGGCCACCCAGCATCCTGTGAGGCGAGGTCTTGGGGCCTCCCTGGAGAAGCCCAGGTGGCCTGGGACAACCATTACCGAGGGCTGCCCACCCTGGGCCCGCATGACCGGGCAGGCCTCCCCCCTGGGGAGGCCTGGCTTCCCTGCAGGTGCCCTCAGGCGGCTACTCCTCCATCAACAACGTCCGAGACGCTCAGAGGCCTGAGCCCCGGGACAAGATGGAGAGCTTCTTCCTGGGGGAGACGCTCAAGTACCTGTACCTGCTGTTCTCGGATGACCCGGCCCTGCTCAGCCTGGACACCTACGTGTTCAACACTGAGGCCCACCCCCTGCCCATCTGGACTGCCCCTTAGTGGGCCAGCTCGTGCCGTACCTGCCCTGCCGGGCCAGGGCCCATGGGGCAGCCCTGCCCTGGATCCAGGCTCCTCCCATCTCTGCTGCTACCCAGGATGGTGGTGTCAGGAGCCAGCAGAGGGCCGTGGGCGTATGCCAGCCCTGAAGGGAGCTTCGGGGTGGCCCTTGGCCTCTGGCCAGCGGCCATCTCTCGGGGTCATGCGGGCCCCCAGAGCCTGGGCTGTCTTAGAGCAGCCCCTAGGGTACGTGCAGCCCCAGATGACACACCCCAGGGTAGGCTGTGGCGCCAGGGACTGCCCCGACCACGGGCCAGGGGTCTGGGCTCAGGCTGGCACTGCCCACACGTTGGACTCAGGGATCCCCCGGCTGCCGGTGGGGCTGGGGAAGGGCGCCCAGGTGCCTGGCAGCTGGGCCTTCCGGTGGGATAAAGTCAGCCTGCCCTGCCAGGTCTCTGAGTGGAGAGGTCTGTTGGAGCGCGGTTGGGTGCGTCTCGGGGCTCAGGCCACCAGGGTCAGGGAGAGACGTGGGGTGCTGCAGGGGCCGGCCACTGGGTGGGCCGTGGTGGGGCCCTGAGAAGTCAGGAGTGGGGGCGTGGGGGCGCTCCTCCAAGATGGAGTTGGGCCTGCCACAGAGCTCCTTGGGAGGGCTTCCTTTGTTTCTCGTGGGCTCTCCTGCATGGGGTCAGGAAGTGTCCCCGCCATGGCTGGCTCTGGGACTCCTGCCTGCACACCAGCAGGCTGCTGCAGGGTAGACTGGCCTGTGCCCTCAGGAAGCCGGGGTCGCCTGGACACCCAGGCCTTAGGGTGCTGCCTGTACCGTCACCCTGCAAGGGCTGCGGCTCCAGGGTTTAGGCAGCTTGGTCTCCGTGTGGCTCCTGCACGGCCTCCCTGACTGCGGGCCCGGTTGTGACATGGCCCTGCACCGAGGAGGTGGGCAGTGACTGGGGCTACCCCGCCCCTGGCTCCCAGCCGCAGGTCCTCCGCTGGGTCTGTGCCAATGGCTGAAGTGCTCCTCGAGGCCACGGGCACCCCCATAGCTGCCTGCAGAAGTGACCGTGGTGGGGTGGGATGTACCTTCACTCCCTGTCACCCTGAAGTAGGATTAAGGGTTGGTTTGGTGTAAGTGGTCTCCAGAGACAGCAGAGGAGAAAGTACCCCGGGGCTGCAGCGAGGCCGTGGCCCTCCCTCCCCTCGCCCTGCTGGGGTTTCCTACAGACACAGGCCTGCTCTGTCTTCCGGCCACCAGGCCAGGATTCGAACCCTCAGTGGCTGTGTGGGATCCAGGTCCCTTAACCATGCAGCTACGAGGCTTAATTCACCACAAGTTGCCTTGGGAGGCCATGGCAGGGCTGCTGCCTGTGTGTGTCCCACATGCCCACGCCCACTACGTGTGGGCCCCACGACCAGCCAGGACACATTCAGGGTAAACAGACATTTATTCAGGCCCACCCCCGGGGAGCCCCACAGGGCAACCAGGGGACCAAGAGCCCACCGCGCGGCTGGGTCTGGGGACCTCGGCCCCTGGCCGTGTGGGGCTGGCTCTCAGACACGCCAGGCAGCCTTCACCCACTCGCGGACGAGGGTGGCCTCCAGCTGGCGCACCTGCACCACAGATGCAGGGTCTTCTGGCTGCGACGCTCTGCGGGCCAGTACAAGGACGACTCAGGACAGGCAGGGCCCAGCCTGGAGCCCTGGTCAGCCGTGGGCCATGGGGAGGCCACCGCACCTGAGGTCGAGGTGGTGCGCACCCCCCCGGACAGTGACAGCAATGACGGACGCGCTCACGTTCCTCCGGATCTGTGGGGGACTCGCTGTCAGGTGTGAGCCCTGGCCCCTAGCTGCTCCCTGGACTTGTGGGTGGGTGGGACAGTCACCCAGGCGACGGCGACTGCGCAGCCTCTGGAGGCTGGGTGCGAGGAACGGTGGTAACTGCGAGTCGGCATCAGCCCACTTACACAGGAAGTGGAGAAAGTGAGGGCAAAATGGGGAGGTGGGGCCGAGCTGGGGAACATTCTGGGACCCCACACAGGACTGCTTAGCAAGTCTGCCAGGCTATAGGGCAGGAGGTGGGGTCAGGGCCAAGGGCATCAGGCCTCACCCCGCCACCTGCCCAGGGGTCCAGGTCCCCGTTGGAGAAGATGATGTTGCTGGCAGCCTTGAGGTCTGAGAAGGACATGGTACACAGGTACCCAAAGCCCTGAGCCACAGGTGCATGGCCAGCTCGGTGCCCTACACCCCCCAGAGGCTGGTCCACAGCGGGTCCCACCACCACCCCCCTAGAGGCCAGTCCAGCCACCGCCCCC